CTATGTTTGTTTTTGATGGTGAAGCACTGCCTCTTTGTAGTTTTAGAAATTCTCTCATTAACCCACTTGTCTCTCCTACTAATGACATTAGTGATGGTTACTAGTGAGAAGTAACTAGCAAGAATTTTAAACCTGGAAAAAATACCATGTAAGGTTGAAAACAGTTGAAATGCTGTGTCCTACCTTTTATATGGGAACAGAGCTGCTTAAAGTTGCAAAGAGAAATGTCACATATGAGCTGCTCGCCCAGGCAGTGAACACAAGTGTGACAGAGTGAGAGAGAACCAGTGGAGGCAGGGAGAAAGACGGAGAATGAGAGGGATGGAGGGAGGCAGGCCACCCTTGAAAGGAATTTTCGGAGGGTTGGACAAACCCAGTCCGCAGCAGTCCTGGTGATTTATTATAATTTAAGACGAAAGATTGAACTTGAGCTTTAAGGTAAAGGCCTCACGTACTGACTTGGACAAACGGAAATGTAAGTTTATCTGGCAGTAGGTCTCTATGGTACAGCCAAAGGTCTTATGCATATGTTGATGACATTTTGTGACAAAATCCAGTGGAAGTAAGGGCAGCAGAGAGGGGCAGTTATTGCCTCAGAGTAGGAAGGTGATAAGATCCAGTTAATTAAACCATGTAATAAGTCCCTATATTTGCTGGCTCTAACCCAGTCCACAGCTCTGTCTCCACCACTACATCTGTCCAGCTGCAGCACCTTCACATCGTGCGACACTATATTTATAATAAATAAAATATAATAAATAATAAAATAAAATATAATGTATATTATTGAATTAACTCTTTGAAATATGCATTAACATTTGGCATATGATTATAACAAAATTAAAAGCGCATGAAAACCTGTCTATCTACTGTATCTGTCTACCTGCCTTGTGAATCCCCACATTATCAAAGTATGGTATAATAGTGTATCATTATTACCTTTATTTAAATGTCAGAATCCACAGGTATATATATACATGTCTCTTTGGTAAATGACACCAAATGACACTGTAAATGGAACAGCTCAACTACTCATGAATTACTATGAAGAACAGAAAACAGACATCACTACACATCTATCTAGATTCACATTTACCACGGCTACTAACACTGTTACTTCTCCAACCAGGTGTCATCGCGTCTGACATTCAAAATATGTACTGTTTTTTTTTTGTTTTTTTTTTAATTCTCTCTCCGTTGAAATTTTTTTTTTTTTACAATATTTACATCTATATTTTATCCATGTTTTTAAAGATGATTTCAAGAGAGCAGCAAGTTCTTTCCCCCCAAAGTCGGTTCTTAAAGGTTAAATATATCACATAGTTCACATAATTAATCAAAACTAATAATAACTTAATCATTTTCTTTTTTCCCCCTGCCCATCATAGCCAAAGTGCTTTCTGCTTGATTTGGTTTCAAATTCAATTCATTGAGCTCTACTTTGTACCATAAAATAAAGTCAATTATATGTATATATATATATAACAGAGAGGAATGTAAACAGTTATTGTTTCCTGTTTACTGTTGTAAAACTGAAATCATTTTAAAATTCTCCTGGAAATCCATCTGGACCAGGGGTTTATTAATGTCTCTCGTGGCAACACTGACTTTTTCTACTGTTAATTCAAGTTATTAAACAGCATCTGAATTTATCACAGGGAACTTTTTAGGAACTAACTCATTTCAGTGGTGTCATGTGGAGCTTCAGACTCATATAAAGAGGAATTATAAGTGAAAAACGGAATCAGTACTATTGGGATCCATGTGTGCTGGCTCTGATGACTCTCATATCTGAGGGATCATATGTGAGGCTGTCTGGTGCCGTGGTTGATGAGCCACACACTGGTTTGCCTTATTATTATGTTCATAATTAATGCAGTGTGATCACAAAAGAAATCTAAATATCAATTTCCACATCAATATTAATATTAATTATCAATATTAATGTGTAAATAACCTACAAATATTTTATGAAAACCAGTATTTTTAAATGTATTTTATTTTTTATCCACTCATGTTTCATTTTACAGTCAAATGTTTTTTCGCTTTGATTTTGACTGATTTGCAGCTGGCCATAACACTTCGGTCAAACTGATCTGGAATGGTCCAGATGCATTAATCATGTCCAAGGGGGAAAAATTGAGTCATAGTTTTGCATGTTTTTCTTGACATGTTTCCATATAATTCCATCATTTTGATTATTATCAAATAACAACAGGTGTGAAACACACATCTACCTGCTGCTGTTAGTCTTTTTATTCCAGCAATATACAGAAAGAAGTTTTTGTCATATTAATAATGCTGATTTATCTGGATTAATAAGGATTAATCACAATAATTACAATGGTGATTAATTGTGATTAATCCACAGCTACTCTGTGATGAATCAGATTAACATTTTTGATTGGCAGTGGTGGCCACTTTCATCAGCGCCCAGAGACGACCCAGTGTTGGATTAGACTCACTGCGTGGTGGCTGTTGTGTTAGCCTTTATGACTGTGCTGCTCCTGCTCTCATCAGCCCTACATGGTAAAATGTCAAACTGCTCTGACCACGGACCACAAACAGAGCTTACAGGGAGAAGATAAATAAACCTCCCTGAGAAAATAGTCCACGTTGAAAAAGGATTTTCTCCGGACCGAGGAGGTCAGTAGAGACAACACAGCGGACTACTGCATGCTCACCGTTAGACTGTGCTGGGCCCCTGAGCCCTGTAAATCTGTAGTCTGACTGTTGGCCTCAGCCTTTGTGACGGTTAATGATGGTTTATGTCATATTTTTCCCTCCATGTCTGAGATATTAGGGACAGTTATAGTCTGGGTCAGTCATTAGAAACGGTGGTACATATAATAAACGAGTGAAGAATGAAAGCAGGGAGCTGTGTTTACTCTGGATGTCTCTCTGCTTCTGTTGGCAGCTTCACACACATTTTCTCCCTCACTGCTCTCCACATATAGCCAGCTATGCAGATAAGACTGCAACCAGCTTCTTTCCAGCAGCCACAGTCTAAAAACAATAGGTGTGATGTGATGTGAACGTTTGAAGCTGAGCACCAACACTTCTGTTCTAATGTCCAGCACATTATTTTAAGCAGGGATTAGAGTGAGAAGGAAGAGAAAGACAGAGAGGATACTGGGTGTACTGTGTCTGTGGAAGTACAGAGATGGTGAGAAGACAGAGTTGTGGAGTGTACTACCAGGACAGACGTTCAAAGGTCAACAACATGGTACTATGTCTTTGTAGACACAGTGATGCAGTGAGAAATGTTCTGAATTCCAGCTACACCACGCTCATTTACAAATAATCATCCCAATAAACAGAATAATGACAGTGGAAATACAACACCACGCTCATTTACAAATAATCATCTCAAATGTTCATTTGTCAGGGTGTCCCCTACCCTCGTCATCCTGGAGGCAGGTGGTAACAGAGATCAACAGAATAATGACAGTGGAAATACGATTACTCTTTGGCCACACTGTATCTGGGTAAAATGAAATGTGAAGACAATCGTACACAAAGATAAATATTTATTAAAGATACTTTTGGCATGTAGCAAGAAAACTATTCCATGGAAATGGTTGCAGTTCCGTCCTCCAACTATACAGTGGATCAGGGGTCACCAACGGGGGAACTTGATAGCCCCCATGGACTGTCTAATAATAAATAAAATTAAAAAAATAAATAAATTCAGGCATTACAGAATATAATAAACAAATAACAAAAAAACCAGTCAACAAGATTGTACTGTTACTGTTCTTTTTGAATCAGTTCCACCTGCAGTGATATTCATATGGGTCCAATGACGATGGTAAGAAGAGTGTCTACTACTGCATGTCCCTGAACTAATTATTATTACATTGTTTGTGAAGTCTGTATCAAACAAGTAGCTCTCTGTATTACTGAGTGACCTTGAAGTAGCTCTAAGATTCAAAATGGCCGGTGATCCCTACAATAGATGATAGAACTGTAGAGAATGTATGCTGTCAGTTTTACCAAAGTACAACTAATACTGCAGAATGGCCATAGTGTATTGTTTTGATTTAAAAACACAAGTTTGTTCTATATGCAAAAGTTCAGTACATGAGCAAAAGTACAACAGACACAGCAGTTGGCTCAACCCATGCCTTTCAAATCCAACATGAACGTGACAGGACTGAAATAGTCTGATGGTGTCCACAGATAGCCAAACCTAATCTGCCGCTCTGATTCTGACAGGTGCTTTATGCTTTGATTGTAGGATTTGTCTCCCATGATAAAAGCTCATGACTCCATTGTCTGCTGTCAAGTATCCAAAATATTCACTCACATCCAGCTGGTTTAAAGGACAGCATTCCCAGGAGATATCCATCAACAATCAGTCCACTTAACAGTCGCCAGTGATGCTAACATTCTAAAAATAACTCAAATTCAGTTCACAGGCCTAGCCTATTGACAAGTTGCTTTGTAAACAAACAAACAAACTTCAAGTCATATCTGCATCAAATGTTTACTATTACTGGTTCAAAATGATCTTTGCTGTATTCACTTAAATAACAAACGACATTTTTATTTTGTTAATTTCTCTGTCTTAGGTTGACCCTGTGAAAAGTGAAACCACAGCTATGAGTCTATCTTCTAACGTAAATTAAAAAATAAAACAAAAACAAACAGTGGTAACAGGCTATTCATTTCACCTACAGGTGGCACTGATGGACTTAAAAAAGCTACTATATTAAAGGAAGTTCATTAATCATTCAATTGAAAAAGCAAAAGAATAAAGTATATTTTAAAGAAAAATACATTCATTAGTACTTGTGAATGTAATCAAGTCGGGTCAGTTTTACTTCTAAAGCCCAAATTCACCTTTGTTTTTTTTTCTACATTCTACAATATAGATTCTAAAATGCCAGTAAGTACATTTCTTTTCCACTAATTTACTTTTCTAATCCTGTTTTTAATTGTTTTCACAGGTGTGTGTGTATAGTAGTTCTTCTGTTTTCCTTAAGACTTTTAAGTCTTTATATATTTAATCCTAGCAAAATATAACCAAAAATGTGCTCCTTTTGTCATATTTCAGTTGTACCTCTGGCTCTTTGCTGGTACTTGTACCTTCAATATATACATATATTATATATAAATATGATATATCTATAAATGTACCTAATATGTAGTTATGGAGGTGAGGCTGAGTGAATTGGAATCCCAGCCTCACACTTAAAAACCCAAAATGTCAGACAGTCCCCTGTACCTAGCACCAGGGTTAGCTAGCTGATTAGCGTTAGCTCCAGGAGCTCCTAAGCAGCAGGTGGAGAACCTACAGTAGTAGGTCATGTTTCACCCAGGGAAACATTCTGGTAATTAGCCACGACTCAAAATGACAACAGTCATAGTTAGGTGCATTCCAGCGTTCAAAGAGGGCGACAGCGAGTCACATTTGAGGCTCTCGGGAAAATATAGCAAAGTAATGCCAAACACCATGATCATAAAGATCTGGCCACTGATGACAAGTTAATTAGCATGTGATCATTGAAGTGCTGTCTGTCTGCAGCTGTACAGGTGTCTGTGCTTCTGTTTTTTTTAATTCCAACTCATCAGTCAGCTCTATTTCAGAGCTTCATTTTGACCTCTTAGCCTAGCCTAGCTTGATATCTGAACAGTTATATTAGTTGACATCAATTTAAAATAGTAAGTTGCAATGATCTGGTATATTGGTTTTGGATCCACTTTTTAATAGAATTATTCATATAAATCTTTACTTAAATATGGAACTAAAAATGTAAAATATAATACAGTATAAAACTCCAGTCCAGGAGAAATGTGCATCTTTTAGCTAAGAAAAAAAGATCACAGAAAAACACAGAGAATCTAAGAGAAAAACATTTAAAGTCAACGTGGGTTGTGGAAAAAAGGGACCTTTTCTTATTCGATCTGAAATAATGTGAAAAGTTGTTGTGAATCTCCTGTGTAATGTTGGAACAGAGCAATGGAAAAATAACTGCTCTATTTATAAACAGCCATTTAACACAAGAGGGTCATCTGCAATCCTCAGAGAAACAGTCAGCCAGTTGTCCTGTTCTAACAAAATCATTCCATTACATCAGGGCCTAGCAACTGAGAAGGAATATTTTTATTGCAGAAAACACAGATTGAAGACAACACTCATGTTTTCTTGAGCTAGTACTTATATGGTGTTACTGAGCACGTTCCCAGACAACAACAGTTTAGTGTGGAGGGCTTTGGTTTTTGGGGGACAGGGATGATGGTGGAGGAGTTGAAGCTGGAGCTCCAGTAAGGTGTTGAAAATGTCTGTGAACGCTGTGAATCAGCTGGTCAGTTCAGTGCTGGTGTGGCTGGTGGTCCGCATGGTGGCACGTTGGCCACCGTGTCGACTTCTCGCTTCTGTCCTGGTCGGGTTAGTCCTTGCGACGGCGTCCCCTGTGGATGCTGTCGGCGGGACATCCTGGCGTGGGTGGATCCCTGATAAAGCTTTCCTCACGTGGTTCCTCAGTGCCCAGCCTCGTTGGGTCTTTTCCCCTTTTATCTGTACAGCTCTTTGTACTACAGTCATTGAATGAAAAGTGCTCTAGAAATCAGTTAATTATTCACTTTATATTTGATTTGATTTTGTGTTTTATATATTGTATATTTTATATATGCATATTGTGTTTTAAAATGAAGGAAAGGAGAACATTTGATATTTGTTTTATAATTTGAACCATACCTGGGGATTTCTTGATTTTAAATTTAACTATAAACATTATTACTAATCCATGTCAAAAATCACCCATACACATAAATGTGATTCAAATTCAGTCAGTTGTTGAATTCATTTTAAGACATGCAGTATAAAGTACATGCACTGGTATTTGGCAATACTCATTCTGTATTTACAAGGTATTTTATTAACATCCATCTTGCAGTAACACAGCACTGACTGGCTGTGGCTCTGGGTTCTGGGCAGCACACACACAGAGTGTAATGTGATGTAGAACCACAAGTATAATATTTCACACCTTTTTACTGAACCTTTAAACATCGAGTAAGGCGAACGATAAAAACTTTTGAGATTGTGAAACCTTAAAGATTTGGTTAGTGTACTAGCCTTGCAGCAAGATGATTACTGGTTTGTCAGTTCAATTCATGGACCGTTTGAATTTCTTTCGACTTTTTGAGTTTACATGTTCTATCAGTCCAGGTTGGACACTACCAGCATTAGAAGACGAATCATTGTCTCAGTGTCCTAGTGCTGGTTAGAAATTGTTCAAAAAATAAATTAAGATCTAGATTAGTGTTCATGGTTAGGGTGTGCTCCGTATTGCAGTGTTAATGTTTATTATATTTTGTAATGCTGTTTAAATCTGAACCTGAGCTCCAGTTTATAGAAACTGATAAAACCTGTGTTTTCCTGTAAACTCGTGGGCCTCATTATTCACTTCCTTTTTAAAACCATCAACATGTGCATGTATTGCAGATAGCACGCACTGACACAGGATGTGAACTCATTTTTGCCATTTGGTTGTTCTTTTTACAAAAATGTGATGAAGATGGCTGCTGTCTCTGAAATAACTTTGCTTTTGTTGGGCTGTTCCATCCTCTTCTTCACAGGTAAATTCAATTTGTTAGGAATTACATTAGGAAGATAAACTGCTTATGTTTTAACTTAATTGTTTTAAAGATTTGATAATTAGCTTTTCGAACCCCTTCGGCCCCTCAAGTTGTCTTCATCTGTAAGAAAAAAATCTTTATTACAACTTTGGAACAAATTTATAAAATACAAATTATGTTCTTAATTGTATAATATTAAAGATTTCACAGAACAATTTAGATCGTTGTCTGGACAAATGACGATGAAAAACAATTCTACAGTTTAATCCTAATATGAATAGGAGATATGTATGTCTGTGTGTGTATCTTCTCGATTGTCTTTTCATACTTTTTCATACTTTTTTAAATTTTCATTTTACATAAAGATCAAAATGTTAAACATATGTTTTTGTTATGGATGAAAAATATTTGATGTTCTCCAAAGGGGGTGCTGATCTTGTTCTTTTATTTGTTTCAGTTCCGCATTAATATAATATTACGTTGTCTGTGTGAAGAATCACAGAAGTTAACATGTAACCCTCAGTTTCCTGGATCCAGACTATTTTGTGATTTCAGTTCCATTATTTGATTTAATATGCAATAAAATATTGGTACTTGGTATATATTGGTAAATTAACCTTTATAACCAAACAAATGATCTTACCCCAAATCACTCGAACCTGATTACTGCTGCTGTTAGCAGTAACGTAACATTTAACGGGCAACAATATGCATGTTACAGTTGCATTAATTATTTCCAGGGATGCACCGATGAATTAGATAAACATTTGCCGATGTTTGGCTTGCAAAGGTTTACATCTTTAACCTTAAGCCATTATTAAAACTATTTATACTGTTTATATATTCAAACTATTTATGTATTGTTATGTAACTACACTACATATATAAATATATATACACATACTAAAGGTAGATTTATTTAGATTGATCTATCCATCTATCTATTTTTTTTTTCATTGTTTGCTTTGCCTCCTCAGGTGTTCAGAGCAGCTGTAATGCGTACGCTGCCAAAGGGGAGACCTACGTAGTGGTGCTCGGACATCAGCTGCAGAAATCTGATATACTAAAATGGAAACATAGAAATAAAGTCATTGTGGAACGAAAAAGCAATTTCAAGTTTTCGCTTGGAAGCGAAGATGATATCTATCAAAATGGTTCTCTGAAGCTGAGGAATGTCAACGCAAACCACTCAGGGAATTATGAGCCTGTGGTTTTCACAGAACATGGGGTTCGTATACCAAACCTGAAGAGCGTAGATTTATGCGTACTTGGTAAGTATCACTATAGTCTTTTCAAATTGGTTTTTAATTAATACTTACTGACATAAGTAATCAACATTTTTTATTCTTAATTATGTCCGTTAATGTCCATTAATCTCTTATTTCAGCTGATTTCCTGTGGTATATTTATACTAATCTTTCTTGCACAGACCCGGTCCCTGAACCTGAAGTGACACATGATTGCATGTCAATCAAACAAGTGTCAAAAGTCAAGTTTACCTGCACTGTTGCTCAGGTGAGAACAATATGTTTTCCATGTCCAGTAGTCTCTGAGCGTGTGCCACTCCTTTTAACCCTGACTCTAGTGAAGAGTTGTGCTACGGAACAGAGTTCTTTAAAGATGTGCAAGTCAGCCGGACAGTTAGACAGTGCATATTTTTCTGTTTTCTTCCTAGAAGACCGAACAATCAGAAATTCTAGCCTGCTGTATGTTAACAATAACATCATTTGATTTGAGCAGGTACAGTAACCACTGATGTCCATGTCTCCATTTACTGAACAGAAGAATGACATCAAATTTGAGTGGCTTCAGAACAACAAGTTGCTCCACCAAGGTCCCACCCTGACACTTGACATCAAGGACACGGGGTCACTCAGCTGCCGAGTTTTCAACAACGCCAGTGCGAAGTTTAGTAAACCTGTGACTCACTCCTGCCACCAGTCCAGTGAGTGTAACTGAACTGATGTGTAACCTCACATTGGAATGATTACAATAAGATTATTATAATTAATGAAAATCAACAGGAATCTAAACAATGTATAGTGAGAAAATACTATGTTATATGATAATGCCACCTGAAAAACTACAACTCATTAATCCTTACCTTTCCTCTGCCCGTCTTCTCACCTCATTTCTTAGTCATCCCTGAAACAGTATTTGGAATAAGTATCTGGATTTTTGTAGGTACTGGTGCAGGTATGTATATATTCAGATGTAATATATATTTATGTGACAATTCTCCCATAAATGCTGTGTGTCCAACCTGGTCTTTTGGGCTGTCTTCCTCAGGTGTGGTTGTGTTGCTTATGTTTGTTGTGATTATCTGCTGTGTCCAAGTCAGACGGAGAAAAAGGAAATTGCAAATCCTCGGTGAGCAGCTTTTGGTTTGATATTATTATCGACTTGTATGAAATGTTTTGTCATTGTGTAAAATAGGGCCGACCATTTTTCGATAACGTGACGAGTACTGTATAAGACAGATTAGGACCCAAATGACAATGTCAAGAAAAATCCAAAACCTGAGAACACATGTTCACAAAACAGAACAATCATGTGATAGATAGGAGAGCACTCCTCGACCACGCCAGGCTTGGGAACAGTGACCATGACTTGGTCATTTTATAGATCCAACATTAACTTTACAGCTCCAAGTACACATACACACAGATACTTAATAACGTAAAATGGGTGAATATTTCGTGTAAAAAATAAGTACTGTATTTTCCGGTCTATAAGTCACTCTTTTTTTTCATCCTTTGACTGGATTTGCGACTTATACATTGAAATATATAATTTCACCTGTCACCTGACAGCCGCTAGAGGCTTGTGTACCAGTATCTGCTACCCCTGTACCACGTGTTCGTTATTTTCAAACTGACAGCCGCTAGAGGGCACTCTAGCTGGCTGGTGCGACTTATATATATTTTTCTTCATTATGCATTTTTTGGCTGGTGCGACTTATACTTCAGAGCGACTTATAGTCTTGAAATACAGTAATAAATATATCTCAGAAAGTGCAGGGAAGAGTCAGGTGAACACGGCCAGCACAGGCTGGTCACAATACAAGTTATAAATCGACCCTATTTTGAAACGAAGACCAAAAGGTTTAGTGTTTGTGGAAATCACAGAGCTGCAGGTATTGTTGTGCAAACCAACATTTTTTTTTGTTCCAGTAAAATAGGTCAGTTAACCTCGTCAACTGTAGTTTTCTCACAACTGCCAAGAAAGCACGTACACCCAAAGGTCCTCAGTTAGTCTTAGCAAAGAAAGGCCAGTTTATGAAGAATTAAACCCAGTGAAAATGCTGCACGGCTAACTGATGACGTGTTCTCATCTTTAGAAGAGGAGGATCTCCGTTTGCGGTCGACCAATTGCGATAAGCAACAACAACAAGGGCACGTTCATCACCACACTAATAATCCCAATCGCCCACATAATCATCACCTCCATCACAATCAAAGGCAGCCTTATCATCAGCCCACAGGCCGCCCTGCTCCTCGACAGCCACACCCCAAACAACGGCCCTCCAGAGCCCCTGACCCACCCTACGCTGGACCACAGTCAAGCCCTCGAAGATCTGCGCAGGTAAGTAGTGAAAATGAAATTTTAGTTTTGAAGAAGAGAGAAGTTGCCTCCTGTTAGAGCTCTGTCTCTGGTCTAAATCAAACTGAAAGTACTCTTAACTCCTTTAACTCTCATCAGTGACACTGATCCAATATGAAACTCTGTGATACATGCCAAATGTGATCATCAGTGGATGGGTTTTGGGACCATCACTGCCAGAAAACAGTTTCTTTTTATTTCTTTTATTTGGCTAATATCGTTATAATTTGGAAAACTGTAATCAGACCAGTGTAGTTTTAACCTACCCTGCATTAACAACATCAACATGTGATTCATTCATATTGGTGTTTAAGTACTCTCCTCATGCTCTCTTTAGGCTAACACACCAGCAAATACAGGATCTGACCAGCTGCACCCCCCCTTACCTCAACCCAGAAGAAAATCACCCAGAACACCAAGGGTTCGAGAGTTGTGATACCTTTGACATTCTATTGCCCCACCTCCTACCCCTACCCTTGCACCCAGGCTTCTATTAAGTTAAGTTGGCGTCATGGTTATAATGTTATACAGTGTTTTAGAGCATAAACACTTTAGAAAATAGTTTAATTGTATTGGTCATCATAATAGGAAGTAGTTTAATTTTACTTTTTTATAATTATGTGGACTTTTTTTGCGACCAATTTGTAATTACCAAAACTCACCAATTTCCCTCAAATTACTTCAGAAAGGACTGTCTTTTACTTTTTATAACTACGCTAACAGCTTTTTCATGCTTCACACTGTTACAGCATTTAAAAATTCGATATGGATAAAAATTAGGAGCAAATAAAAAAATAATTTTATTTATTGACCATTCTGGGGTGCTTTTTTTTTTTAATGTAGATTGGCCTTTATAATTAAACTTAAGGTTGACTTTCATTAAAGGTATGGTGAAGTGAACTTGGTAATAAATATGGTTGTTTAAACTGTGACCAAAAAATGGTAAAAAAAAAAAAAGAAACTGGATTAAGTTGACTGTCAGGACTGTTCCTGAGGTTTATTGTTCTGTTGTACGTGTTTTGGACTGTATGGTTAGTACTGTGTGTATAGTACAGTATCTTATTACCCTAATGTAATTAATTAAATTGTTTTTTATTTGTTATATATATAACAAAAAGCTTAATTAAAACAAAGCAAATGACTTTTTAACCTTGCATATTTTATGTTACTGGGGATGAGATGCTTTGTCTTTTCTTTTCTTTTCTTTTTTTTGAACTTGTCTGTGACTTTGATACAGAATAGCCGTTATTGTATGTTTCGTAATTTTACAAATAAATATAAACAAAAATAAATAATGCTGTTCTAAAGTATGATTCAACCCTTGTGGTAAACTAACTTTTAAAAAAAATAAGTCGTCATCATCACCTAAGCAGACGAATGCTTTTCAGTGAAAAGCAGAGCCTCTGTGTGTCTGGTTATGTGTCAATTACATCCTGTATTTTTGTGGTTTTAAGGTTTGCTTCAGCATTGAGCTGCCGGCGGCAGCAGCTGCTGTTGCTGACTGAGTGGGTGGGAGTGTTGTGCACATGTGGGGTCCTGTGCACTAAACTTACAAAGAAAAAGAAACTCACTCCATAGAAACAAGAGATATCCTTAAAAATTTGAATTTGAATCATGAAGAAACCATCCGTTCTAGACCCATAGTTAGGCTGAAACACTGAGCTGAGATCTGTGTCAGTGTTTTTATTTTAAAAATGTGTGGGAAAAAAACAAAGTCTACAGCAGGGCTGTTAAGAAGGAAGTCGAGTTCAACGTCTGACCTGATTATTTCAGATGATAAAGTAAAGGTAGAGCAGAATAGAACAGTCAAAAGAAACATCAATGGAAACTGTTCAAAGAGAGACTCATCACAAGTAGTGACGGAAAGTCTTACAGCTCATCTCACCAAAAATAGTCGTCTACTTCGACCCCTCTCCCCCTCCCTGATGTTTTGTTGCTTAAATTAATTTATGACCAAAATAATATATGATGATGTGCAGAATTACTAATGTACAAATCTGACATTATATCAAATGGTTCTTGTATATATGGCTTCAACCTAAGACGGAGCAGAGTTGTTGCAGAAGTGTTTTTCTCTATACACATACAGTTTCATATGTGATGTGATAATGCCACCTGAAAAACAACAACTCATTAATCCTCGTCTTTCCTCTGCCCGTCTTCTCACTTTCCATAGTGTAGCGGTTAGCAGAGAGCAGAGTCCTAGGATTCCCAGAGGAACCACATGCTTGGTGCCTGTTAACAGCATATGTGCTGCTAACACAATAATTTCCCATATATGGGATCAATAAAGTAGAAATTTATTTATTTATTATTTATTTTCAAATCAGAGCTGTTGAAGATCTTTGTGAGTGTCTTTCTTCAATTCCTGTCAGTATATCAGTGTTTTCTTCAACTAAACAGGAGTACATTTTTAGTAAATGTAAACTAGAATATTATTCTATTTCATTACATATACTTTTTTGTGAGATTTTTGTATGGTTGTGTGCCGTGGGTTTTTTTTCTGATGATATCAATGTGTCGTGGCTGAAAAAAGGTTGTGAAACGCTGCCTTAGCAGACTACCTGTCTCTGGTTGCATGTCCGGTGTTTTTGCTGAGAAGGTGTTAGTGGTTTTAATTGTTTGGTTCAGCATTGAGCTGTTAGCAGCAGCAGCAGATGCTACTGACTGACTGGGTGGAAGTGTTGTAGACATGCATGGTCTAAACTTACAAAGAAAAAGAAAATTATGAAACTAACTCCACACAGAAACAATAGCTATCCTAATATATTTGACCTGGGTCTTAGGCTGACCTGAGATCTGCATCAATCTTTGAATTTATAAAATGTGTGTACACCATCAAACCAAAGTCTACAGCAGGGGGACGTCTTCAAGTAGTGATGGAAATGCTTACGGCTCGTCTCACTAAAAATAGCCGTCTCTTTTGTCTCTCCCCAGATGTTTTGTTGCTTAAATTAATATATCACTAGTATAATATATGATATGTAAAATTACTAATATACAAACCTGACATTATATCAAATATTTCTTATTTATATGGCACAATGTTGGGTTCTTTTTTTTAATAACCCAACATGGAGCGCTACAGAAGTTTGGTTTAAATTTAAAATAAAAAACAAACAAACAAACACAAATTTTAATTTCCTCATAAGAATATATCTCTTATTGTAAATCAGATATGTGAAGCAGAAATAGAAAGGACAAATGATTATTTATATGGCTTCGTCATCAACTCAATATGAAACTGAGTTAAAATACAAAAACAAAAGTTTTAATATGAAATGTGATGGCCCTGCGTGGAGCTACTTCAGGGCAGGTGTCTAATAAATGTGCCATTGTCGCCACCTGCTGGATTCTGAATGAATGACATAAGTAATTGCTGGTTATACTTGTCTTTTACGTTCAATAAGTCATTTGTAAAGACTGTGGATAGATGGATGGATGGATGGATGGATGGATGGATAGATAGGCCACTGTGACTACACGTTACACGTTACTTATTAAGTTTGTAAATGTGTCCTTACAAACAAGAATGTATATATACAATAACTCTAACTTCAGGATCTTTTGAGGTAAACCGTCGTGCTAGCTAAATGTCTTTAAAATGAATTGGCTTTACTGAAAACGCTGCCCCCATGCAGACGTACATGTATAGAATGCTGTCGGATTTTGATTATGATTTTCACCAACACCGCTCTGATGATAGTTATAACAGTATAAGTTAGGTTTACTTTGGTCAACTCAACTTTTCTCCACTCTGCATTTATGAAAGACAACCACTAGATGCCGCAATATATCTATATGAGCAACGCTCAGGTTAAAATTATCCGGTCGTTATAACATACAGTATTTCAACCACCACAGGTACAACCACTACATTAAAGTAAAATTCTCGTCCATTTTTGTAATTTCTCGCCCAAAAACATTCTTACTAACATGTTTATATGATGGTTAAGATTCAATGATAAACATTTCACCTAATCTTGGTAATATTTGTACGGAACACATGCACAACAAATACAATTACAACAAATCTAAACATTTTGTTTAGTAAGTATTGTGCAAAATCTTTTACAGTTTACACTTTAATGTAGGCAGAGGGTTCTTTTCTGCAAATGCTTGCATTAAAAAGAAAAAGAAAACAAACATTTAAAAGCCAGAGTACACAACCACACACTAGCCTTGGACTTATATAATATACATTCCCTGTGCATTTGATTTTCTTGTATAAAGACATAAACTAAAAAGAAAAAAAATACATAGTGTTGTGACACGTTTTCCAGTTCACATTTGATTTTTCATCAAATGCCTCAAAAAAAAAACAAACAAACAAAAAAAAACCAGATCTTTATAGATGAGGCTAGAACCAAGGTTTTTATTTGTATTTTTGCTTTTAGTATTTTTGTTGAAAATTCAGAAATGGTGAAAGTCAGCAGACCATAGCTTTTGCACAGTGGATCCACTTCAGCATGCACACGGATGGCACTAGGGACACGTGTGGTATCTTAAACACCCACATAAAACACACACAGACACAGAAATACATGCTGACAGTGGTTTCACAGCAAGCATTTGACAATCACCTGTTAATGTTTACCTTTGACTTTGTACATTTACAATCCTTGAACTCTAACCTTTTCACCACCGCTTCCTGTTGCTCCTTCAGAATCTTCTAATGGTGAACTTTGACCTGTCCACTCAATCAGTGTGAATACACAGCATGGGACTGAGGTCAGGATAGTAGCTGACCGCTAGTATGTGTCAAACTTTGTTGAGTACTTACCTAGCAGTGAACTGGAACGATTTGAATCCAAAGTTGATAATTGATTGATTAAAATTGATAATAAAAAGTTTTTTTAAACCTAACATTTGCTTTAAACAATGTTATATAAATATAGTTAACTGGAGTTGTAGCTCCATTTTATAACACAATGAAGAACTATCATAGAAGTAATGAGCACTGACTGTACACAAACTGAAACACTTTGATTTGTACCTGATTAGGACAATGGTTTATTTTGACAGTTGCGGTCTTAGTTTGCCAGCTGACCCAGACTTTGTGTCTGTATCTAATACACACACATTCACACCACACAAACTTTTAGGAAAAGATCATATTGTCTATCTGCCTCGACTGAACAATAGTGAGTCAAAGGTTATAGTTTTAAGACGTGTCACATCTGAATTAATAAAACAAGTTTAGACTCGTCCCCAAGGCTCATCAAACCGCTCTAACGAGATTTATTATTTGATCTGTGTCAACAGTTTAGCTGTGTTGCATCTCATTTGATCAGGTTCTCAACGAAACAAAACAATTAAGTAAAAAAGTAAAGATATAGACACCTTTATAAACAAACTTGAACAGAAACCTGATAAAATTAAAGACTTCCCAACAGCAACAGAGAGAGAGAGAGAGAGAGAGAGAGAGAGAGAGTAAAACATTAAATATATTCTATCCTAACAAAAACCGCTAATACATTTTATTTAATATTTTTAAAAGTATTACATAAAAAAAAATATACATATTTATATATTTAATGATGTACTCTCTCTCTCCCTCCCTCTCTCTCTCTCTCTCTCCACCTGGGAGCAGACCAACACCTAACTTCCGGCTTCGTCCTTATTTCCTTCTCTGCCCCTGTCTGTCTGTCTGTCTGTTGTTGTGTTGTGCACACCTTGACAATTGTGGGATAATCTCTAGACTCTCCGTCCAAATTCGTTGTGGATATATCTATCTATCATGTCTCTCCATCGATCATGGATCATATCGCACACATTGTGAAGCGCCAGGGTGCGTGCCCAGGTTTTGCTCTCCGGCTTCGCCCGCTGTGCGGTGCTGTGTACTATTGAGTGTCCGCCGGGATACATTGGAGAGTTTTACACATTTGTCCGACAGCGGCGGGATTGGACTGCTCCCAACCCAAATGTAGGACAAAGAGATGAGGGGGTGAAATTTGGACAAGCCGAATCGTAAAAGATGGAAGGAACAAAAATGGATAACGTTTTCCTCACGTTCGCCTTTGGGATTTTCATACTCGGTAGGAAGCGAGCCTCTTTGCACGTTGTTTGCTCACGAATTCCCGGGTTTCCCGCTGTGCTCTACTAAGTTTACCTACAAAAGAAGTCGCGTAGCTAATCAGTGCATTTAGTGAATATATCTTTTATTTAGGTCACGTGAAGCACATCTGACATTCTGGAGAGCCCTTAGCTAAATCGGCATGTGTTAGTCTAATCTAAAGGCGTTGGATATATATTTGAGTAATAAACTTAAAGTGGCTCTCTTGAACTGCTGCTGTGGAGAGTTTATCTGTAGGGACACGCTTCACGGCTCCGTGCTAAAATGTATGTGCCTGATGTTGAGTAAGGTGTGTGAGTCCTTGGGTGTTTTATTACATGCTGGCTTTAAGGTTTAAATGTGACACACGCAGAGAAGATTTTCAATGCATTGTAAGGACTTTTCCCAAGCGTTTGGCCGTGTTGCATTTATTTTGATCAGGTTTTCAACTGTCAGAAATTAGGGAAATAACAAATTAAGAAATAAAAGTGAAAATCACATTTTAACCAAACCTGAATAGAAAACACACAAAATAGTTCTCATGGTTTGTAAGGACTTTTCAAGGACATAATGTATTGTTTAACTCGAATCCTGACCTAACACGTATTCTAATCCTAACCTCAACCTAAGTGGAATATATATATATATATATATATATATATATATAGAGGTGTGTGTGTGTGTGTGTGTTAACACAGTGTAATATATAACATACATTTTGGTATATCACCGAATTAATGAATCACATACATCTATATAAAAAACAAGAGTTTCTTTTTAAATTTTGTTTTATGTACATGTGAATTTTGGTCAACTGCAATCACAGATTAGTGCTATGTGTGTGATTTTATATATATATATACTCACCCACACATATATACATATACATATATTATACTGTATGTGCGTGTGGTTTGTGAGGTTAGTGTGCTAAGAAGATAGAAAGAATATATTCTAGAGGAGTTCATGTCTGAGGAAAGTGAGAGAGCGATAAGGACAGATGGAGGGCAGGTGGTTCATCAGAAACTACAGGGAGTTAGTAAGGAGGAAGTGAGAGCAGTATCGAGGAGAATGGTGTGTGGATAACATGAGGACCACTGAAGAGTCCAAGGCTGCTTGATTTCGGAAAAAGAAAAGTTTTTCCTTCATATTGATATCACAATTATTTAACATGTTTGGTCATTGACTCTGAAAAACATTAAACACCAAACTCACCAAACACACCAAACACTGCTGCGCCTCTCTACCTGCTGTGTCCTCCCCTGCTCCTCTGCTCCTTCTGCCATCTTAACTTGCATTAACGCTAACACTGGCAACCACCAGAATACACCCTGTGAGTCATGATTTTTTATCTTGCTGGCCAAAATCTTTTACAGTCCACACAGTATTCAAATAAATTCAAAAAGTATAACCAAATTATGTTAAATACTTTGCATGGGTATCAGTTAAGTTAAGTTTTACTAACACTTAGGGTTGTCACAATACCAGATTTCCAGTAGTCGATACCAATACCTGTGAATTTCCACGATTCTGGATAATAATTTTTGTCTTTACCACGATAAAAATACAAAAACAGATCCCATGTACTTTTAAATTCATTACTTTATTAAAGACGGTTTCAAACTGTCAAGTATTTAATCATCATTGATCACCTCAACATCTCTCTGTACAGAATATAAATTGCAGTACCAGCTGCCACGACATAACTGTGTATTTAAAAAAGAACAGCAGTGGCCTATAGCCTCCCAGTATATAAAAACAACCAATACTGTGCTAATAAAAAAGTTCAACTAGCATAAGGACAGAGGCTGTTAGAGAGCAGCTCCTAATGTCACGTCACATGACCAGTACGGTATTGTTACATTACGTTAACCATTTGTTATTGTAAGTGAACAATTGATCCAGAGTTGTTCTTCCTTTGTGGTGGCGCCGACTACTCAGTGCTCTCATATTTATACTGCCCCCATAGGTTCCACTGAGAATCGACATGGCTGGCTGAGGGAAAAGTTGAATACTGTGTACTGACTGTAACAGAAAAAAACAGGCATTGATATAATTTCTTGCAGGTTGGCATCAACTTGGTACCAAAGTATTGGTTGTTGTGAAAACCCTACTAACAATTACATACAATGAGCCAGTACAAAGTACTTCAGCAGCAGTGGTAAACCAACGGTCATGATTCCCTACGCTACCCATTACCCTGCTCATCTTAGTATTTATCTTTATTAATTTTCATATCTCCCTTTCCCACAAGGCTCCTGCTCAGCCCGAGTGGTGACAGTGTCTCCTGGTCCACTAATCCGGGTGGAAGACCAGCCAGTCTCCATCAGATGTGAAGTCAACGAGTATTCAGGACCACGTGAGCAGGTAGTTGTTGTTAATTACTACATCATTTCAATCATAGTGTTTCCCTGTCGTGAAATGACACTCCCATCATGTTATTCCGACTTGCAGGACTTTGAGTGGATGATGACCAGGGACTCCAGTGGGGTGCGGATCAAGATCATATCCACCTTTGATACCAGCTACTCCCATCCGTCACTTAGCAAGCGTGTTGCATCTGGCGACATCTCAGTGGTGAGGCTTGAAGACAATGAAGTTGAGCTGAAGATTGGAGAGGTGAAGTCACAGGACGCTGGGCTGTACTGGTGTCAAACGCCCAGTACTGACTCTGTCATCAGTGGCAACTACGAGGCTCAGGTCCAGCTCATCGGTAAGGGAGACATGTACATTCTTTAATTCCTTGTGGGTGTGAGGCTTGTTGGATTCTATGGCAGACATGTTAGGTGTGTTTGTATTTAACTAATACACTTACTAAGTGATTAAGGTCATTTAACTCATTTGTGTATTAGCAGTGCCCAAAATATCTGTTTCACTGGTTGTTTTGCCACAAGATTCCTAAACCATTCATTAACCCTTGATCTTTTCCAAGATCACAAGAGTTAGTTTCTACAATTGCTGTGCTTGACAGGTTTGTATCATTAATTTAAATATAATATAGAGGTTTTACAAAATATCAGATTCTAACCTAGTAACAAGAATAAAGGACTCTGATAGTAAGATTGAACTACAAGGGACTGGGTATTGTTGTGTCACTGACCTCAGAACTATGCATGTATGTGAATATGTGTGTTGGAAAATTTAGTAAAAAAAAAAACTTTATTCCATCTTGAACTTTAGAACAGCTCTAGTGTTGGCAGCAAAACATTCCGTTTTCCTGGCTGTGTTGTGTTATAATAAGAGTCTGTATATAAAGCTAACAGGTCATGTTGGTTCATCTAACAGCCATCATGACTTATTAATACTCTGCATACCTTTTATAATTCCTTCTGCCACACACACCAATGCTGTGCACTTAACACCGCACATGTGGCAAATGTGTGAGGGGAGGGGGGGGGGAGCTGAAGAGAGTGTATAAATAGACCAACAGGGCAGTCAATTCACGGCAGTTTTAATTGTAAAGGCCACATTCACAAAATATATTGTGCCTCAAAGGTCTTAAATTAGAATTAAGACTATGCGAAAATTGGAAGAATACACACACAATCAGTAATATCATGAGCTCATATTAACAATACCAAACAGAGCCGACAACTTTTTACAAAGGTTATTAAAAGCCAAATCAAACAACCATGGGGAAAAAAAGAAGGAGGATGAAATCTCCCTAACATCCACAGTCAGTGTTCAACTGTCTGCCTCGGCAAAAAATTAGACAGGTTTAGTTTTGATAGATTGGAACAATGAGAGTTGTGTATCATTAGCACAAACCTTTGCAGATGGTAAAAGCGATGTCGTGCTACATGTTTACGTTCTGGACCTTCCATGACTCTTCCATCTCTAATGGACTCCAGGTACTTGGGTGTATCAGCTGTCATTACCTCTGCTCCACCTGCTTTACTGTCATTCCCACTCATACATTTGGTCTTTCCTCTTCTCATCTTCGTTCCTCTCCTCTTCAGTGCAGTCCTTCACCTCTGCAGGTTTTCTACCACCTGCTGTCAAACTATCACCACAGTTTATGTCTTGTATAAACCTCCTGGCCCACAGAGCTCCCTGTCTGACCTAATCTGTCAACCTGTCATTCACAGTGGCGGGTGCTGGTCTGACAGGGGGAAGCTCGAAATCTAAAGGCTTTTAGCCAAAATACAGCAGTTCTTAAATGTTTTTCTTAGCGAACTGGTCTGGTTAAATACTGTCAGACGACACGTATGAAAGTGAAAGTGAACTCCTTGTCATCGTGTCACAGCTCACCACTGAACACAACCAAATGTGACCTCTGTTTTTAACCCACCACCAAAGTGAGCAGTGGGCAGCTTTAAGGACCAGGGAGCAGTGTGTGTGTGTGTGGACGGTGCCATGCTCAGAGCACCTCAGTGGAAACTTGGCAGATGGTGGACTAGTACCTGAAACCTTCCGGACCCAAGTCCGCTTCCTTAACCACTAATCCACCACTGCCCTGTTAAATATATATATTACACATGATCAAATTCTGCATCATTTGCATATTGATCATCTCTCTCCACAATAAAGGCCAAAACATTTCACCTTGTTTTTAGCATGGATAAAAAGTTTTGGGGAGTTTTTTTTCTTCTAAAACTAAATCATACTGAGCGAGTATTTATGTAAGTTGTTTCCTAAACTGCCAGTTGAGTGACCTTGCCAGCTTACTACCTAGGAAACCCCCACAACTCTTTGTCAATGTAATATTTATTTATATTTGTACCACACATTATTAAATATAAAAAAAGAGTAAAACAGTACATATTTAAAAATGTATTTGTTAACATCTTGGCAGAAACAGAGGTATTACCTCAGAGGTAGTAATTTCCTGGCCTTACTGCAACAAGTATTTTTAGCACCTTCAGGTCCAAGTTAGTGTATTCTGTACATTTGTAGTTGCTGCAGCTAACGGTTCCTTTTTTAAAAATGGTAAATGCACACTTCAGTCTTTCTCCACTCATGACAGCCCAGCAGATGGAACCAAACTGTCCGACTTCTGAGGTGGCTGGGTTCAGATTAAGATTCTGACTCAGACCTCAGAAACATTTATGCGCAACTTGAACGCACCATTAGCTGTAGCACACATATATGTCACAAACGGAACATTACTCTTCTGTTTTCCTGGCAATGTTTGTTGCTTTATGACGAAACAGTGGAGGCGGGGACTGCAGTTAGGGGTCACTATGAAACTGAGAGGGTCATTACCCCCCGTCCCCAGTGCCATCTGCGCGCATGGAGGAATCATCTTCCTTAACAGGATTGTGCTGAACAACCAGGTCAAGTCCGCTGGCATTTGTTCCTAGAAATTTCTCAGCATTTTAAAGGTTTACAATAACCATTTTCTAAACTCTCTTGTCTTGGGTTTTTTTTGTCCCCAGGACCTTGCTTATTTAATGATACTCCATTTTCTTCCTAGTTTCTTAGCCGGTGTTGACAACAGCAACTTCCCTTCTCTTCACAATATCCACAGGGCTCCGCCCCCCTGCTTCTCTCTCACACATCTACTCATCACTTTCTCATTAATTCTGTTTCTTTCACCAACTTTCTCTTTCATCATCAAATTCTCCAACCTCTGCTTCCCCCCTCAAACACCTTCTACAACTTCATATTTCATATCCACATTTCTCCACTAAACAATGTTTACACAATTGTGCCGTTGCATGATTACAGGCCTGACGCCTGCTGATTATGGAAAGTTGTCCTTAGGTATTTTGCGTTAATATACGCCTTTAATTTGACCATAAATTGAGGAGTGGACACGTCGTAGTTGTTACACTGTAAAATGCATTACATTTCTGTGCTGCACTTTTGTCACATCAGCAACACACTTCCCCTTGAAGGGCTGGATGTAACTGGAAGACTTTATGAATGTAACTCCTTCATAACGTATTAATAAATGTTTCTGCGATTGATTATTATTTATTGAACTTAGAAATATTGTACATTGCTCTGTAAGTTGTTATTTAATTTAGGTTAAATAAAATGCAGCAGCATTTACTTTATTATAAGTTAAATGCTTTTTAAGCTTTAGTGAGCCACACAGAATGACCAGCCAGGCCACATTTGGCCCACGGCCTTCAGTTTGACTCATTTGACCCAGTGCTTCCCCTTTTTAAAAAAAACATTAATTATGATTGCATTAAAATGTTTCATATTTTTAATGATTCAAAAGCTTGTCATGTAAACTGTTTGCCTTTTCTCTTCTTTTTCCAGTCATTCCCAACACGCTCAGTGTATCGCCAAAGATCTTGCCCCAAGAGGTACCAGAAGGAAGTGACATCACACTTTCCTGCAATGTGACTCGAGTGCTGACCCACCCCACCTACCTATCTGTTACCTGGGCTTTTAAGAGTGGCACAACATCGGAGGAAGTGTTGACTTTTGGTCCTCAGGGTGATGTCAGGACAGGGGCAAAATATGCATCACGCTACTCTGAGGGCGGCATCCGATTAGTTCCTGGGAGGAATGGACTTTTTACGTTGGTGATTTCCAGGGTGACAACATCTGACAGTGGGACATATGAGTGCATCGGAAAAGAATGGACACATGAAAACAAAGGGACATGGATAAAGATTGTGGAAAATAAAAAAGAAATGGGGGCTGTCACAGTTATTCCTACAGGTAAGAAAAACACTACTCTTCAAATGACACTAGGTTACCTAAGCTGTGCATATTGTTGTGGTTTCAGCTATGCTAAAATAAGCACTCGGCGTATATACAGTAAATTGTATGTTTTTCAGTTGAAGTAATTTTGACTCACTTATGCAATCATTTGTCTTTTTTTGGATGTCTGTCATCACCTATCTAGAATTCAAACATTTATTTGAACTTTTAAAATTTGAGTGAAGCCCCAGGCTGTCTGAAATAGCTGCGACTCATGCTACACAATTAATGTAATTGCAAATGCAATTTCACACTGCGAGATCAGACAGTGAGATCACCACATAATACGCTGCCATTTGCAATGTAATTTATATTAGAAAACATCTACTTGGTTGCACACCGGCACTTGAGGAGTTAGCAGACACTCCATAGGCACATATGAGAACCAAAACTCTGAAGTCAAGTTTGCATAATATATCCCATTTTAAATGGATGATGTAGTAGTTACAATGAGTATTTTGTATATTTTTCTAGTCTTGTTGTACTTGTATAAAGAGAAATGTCTCCACTAAAAGTTGTTAGGTGCCACAGCCTTTACACAGAAATGCCATCTTTTTATTATTTGTGCCTTTGTGATATTCTTTCAGTCATAGGGATGCACAGCCCTGGTACTTCTGCTACCGATCTAGTAACCTGATACTCTATAAAGGTTTTTCTCCACAACCAGCTGTGTAACAGTCAGCCAGTGGTGTGTGTGTTTCTACTGTAGTACAGTGTCCCAGTTCAGTTCTGCTCTGGTGTTGATCATTTATTGGTCTAGGTACTTTACTAACGGATGGGCATGTTTATTGTAATTTTTGCTTCTCCTACTTTAGGAAATGAGAGGGGCATTCAAGTACCATCAGAAAATTTGAGACTTGTAAAAAATACTCATGAGAAAAAAAAAATATATATATATATTTTTTTTTTTTTTTTTTGAGAGGGAGTACCTGCATTATTATGATGTATTATCATTATTTTAGTGTTTGATTTGATCTCAAAATAATGTGGGACAATATATTGCCCAGGCCTAGATAAAAGTAGGAACTCAGGTTAGCTCTACGTCTGAGGCCAATTTTATAGCAGCTAAAATATAACCTGCTCCTTTATCTGTACCATTGTTTAATGGTTGTTTTTTTGTTGTTGTTTTTTCTCCCTTCATTCTGAGCTTGTGTGGTCTGTGAGTATTTATAGTAGAGTTAGAATGGAATTAAATCTAACTTCTGAATTCAGTTTTAAACATTTTTGCAGGCAGGCAAAAAAAAACCTTCACATCTTTTCTGGTTCTTGATGAGAGAAGCAACTTCCACTTCTGATTGTGTTTGCAGTTTTCTCTATTACTGTGGAGGGTAGGGAAAGACAATGAAGAAAGAGATGGTAGAAAAGGACATGGGAGAGGTCACTCTTCTTTTGTCGGGCTTTCTTGCCTTCTCTCTGTTTTTTGTGTTTTCTGTCTGTCATTAAAATTGCTCATTTTCCCTGCTTGACCTTGCTTCATCCTGTACACATACACTCTTCTTTCTTTATTTCTTTCTTTTTACATTTCTGTCAATTTTACCCATTCTCTCCCCTCCTCTCTCTTTCTTTCCCTCATTCTCAACCCCCAGACCTCACACATTTCTCCACTTTTGTGGTTGCTGTGGTTACCATGCGTAACATCTTAATGGAATCCCATGTCCTTCTAAGTGTAGAGAAACGCTCAGTTGTACGTACAACCACCACACACTCTCCGCACTTTATATAGGCTAGTCTCAGGTCGTTATTGTCACAGTCCATTCCTATTGACTTAGTGGCTTAGGAAAGAGGTCAAGCATAGTTAAACAGATCAGCATGAAGAGACTATTCCCTTTCATTCTTTGGTCAGTATTTTTACTTGAAATATACAGAAAAGATTGACTCTTTATTTGGGTGAGTCTCTTTTCTGAGCAGGATATACTTTAGCGTTGTTCTGCAAGACTGTGCCGCTCCAAATCTTCTCTTTCTTCTCTTTTACGAGAGCTGCAAAGTGACATTTCTGAATCATTGGCCGATAATGTGTTTAATCTATTCACCAAATTGACAGTGTCAAAGTGATCCATAAATGCAGCGGTCAGCCAGTGTCGTGTTTCTCTACTGCAGTTCAGCATCTCGAGGCACACGTGTGTAATCAATTTAAGTAGGTCAACAATGTCATTAGATCAAAGTGTATTTTAACAGCTGGGCCAGTAACAAGAGGTGTAAGACTTTTTCTGTTGCAGAATGAGCAATTTATTAAAACATCTATGAATGTGTCTTAGTGCTTAATATGGACTATATAACAACATCACAGCTGTAACGCACTGCTGACACTTCCAGTGGAATATGGGAGTTACATCTGAGCCAGTCACTTTTTTGTTGGGAGTTTTTTTCTTCTTCACAGCTTTGTGTGTTTATACATTTGTTGAACCTTGGTTGCTTCTCAGTTTAGGTAACATTGGTCTGTTGGAGGACGTTGTTGTGTTATTTTATGATTCATTTTATTGATGTTTTTTCCAATGTGGCTACAGTGACTTTTTTATATACAGAACAATTTGTTCCCATTTGGATAAAAATGCACAATGTCATAAGCCAGTACTGATCCACATCCCACATCTCCTTTGACCTTGTGAGAGACATGGGCTTGAGGAAGTCTTTTAGTGTCACTACTTTGTCATATTACCACAGTAGGATGAAGGAACTAATAATCTCTCTGTTTGTGTCTCCAGTTGATTCGCTTACAGTGAAGGCTACATCTTCCCTGTCTTCATCATCGAAAGCTCTCCTCTCCCCTGGGGACACCCTGGCCCTACTTTGCTCTGTCACTGCAAACAATCTTCAGACCCTAGCCCTGGAAGTGACCTGGCTTGCCAATGATCGTAACATCATTACAATAGACCAGAGTGGGGTAGTAAATTCAAACTTTTCCTCAAGCAGTGAAGTAGTAGAACAAGGTAAGGTCAGCCTGGAGAAAACCGGCGCTGGTGACTTCAGGCTGTCAGTGAGAGATGTAGGCGATGGGAATGGAGGGGAATACAGCTGCCATGTTCGGGCCTTCATTGACACAAGAGGAAAGAGCGCCGGAGGAAGTGACAGTTTGAATATGGTGGCCCAAAAGAAATCCAGCCCGGTGGTGGTTCAGGTGTCTCGGATCAGTGAGTAAACTTTCCACATTATTCTTTTCTTAATTTGATGTCATGTTAGATATCAAAGCTTTTGTCATGTATCTTATACTGGACCATTCTAAGGTCTGCTCAGTCTCACTCGTTGCTATTTCTGTCCTCTACCTGTTCTACCTGCGCGTGCTCTCATCGAAGCTGACTGTGTCTGCTTTAAAGCTGACAGATGGTCCGTCAGTGAAGTGTGCTGGATTAATAATAGTGTACATCTTAACTGAGAAAACAAAATTGCCAACTAGGTAGATGTTTTATAATCTGCTAAAATCTGGAAAACTGTCTCAAAACTAGCCTTCACAGTGTCATCTGTTTAGGGATGTAGTTGGAGATTAGAACATTCTAGCATCACACTGGTATCCATCCATTATATCACCACCTTTACCTGCTTTAGTTGTATGCAATTTCCAAAATGTTATTATGCAACAAAAAGCTATATTATGCAAACATTTGAACCACAAGAAGTGGGTTGTGGTCTTTAACAACACTGGGAGCATAGCTCCTA